TTTATGATTGTGTTAATTAATTAAAATACAGTTTACAAAACATCGCTTCAGTAGGTATAATTATATACGGTTCGTTGTTTCACCAGGATGTGATTTTAAAGTAATTACTGCATCTCTTGTAATATAACGTGTTATGTACGATATTTGTTTTGGTTAAGAATCTCACCTAAGATGCGGTGATTTTCCCCCATACATAAAATGTAAATTTTTTTAAAGAACGTTAATCACTGTTGTACAGCGTCCACCGGATATAGCCCCTCAAAACTCCGAAAACGAAAGTAAAACGGTTTACGTCGAGTTCACCCAAGGTAATGTTTCAACTTAATTCTTCATCATAACTTCATCGATTTTTCCAATCTAAACAATTTTGTGAAGCTAAATATGTCAGATTTTAGGGCAGTATTTGCTTTTTTCTGCAAATTGAATACTTTTTGTTAAATCGGCGATAAATTGTGCCGTTTTTGTTGACATTTGCGAACGATGTTGATATTGACCTGTTAATTGGATCCAAGAGGCATTTGTTGTACCAAAATCCGTATTTAATATACAATATAGACTTCCTTCTACTTGTATTCAAGTGGTCATCCATCAACTGGGGCTGCTTTCATCAAAATTTGCGAAAAACGGTCTTTCCTTGTGTACAGAGTCTAGCAAGAAATACAAATTAAAGTGAACGGAGTGTAGAAGTTTAATGTACAGGGTTTAGTAGAATGTTACGGTGTATAGCAGTCACATATTTTTAATTTTTATAGCCTTTATGAGCTGACAATCATTCGAAGACACAAGATATTGATCGTAAACTTCAATAATTACTTAAATTCATACTAAAACAGGCGTGGGTAAGATTGGTACTGTGTTCATACTGGGATATACGATAAGTTATCGTATATCCCAGGTTCATGTCGTATGGTCGGATCAAGTGTTTTACGCTTATGCATGATTTACCGCCCCCAGTTTGCATCTAATCAAATTCATAGTTTGGAACGCGCATTTGCTCTTTTTAATCTGAACATGTTATGGCCCAGACCCTTTTTTATGGGCCTACAAGTTGGAAAAAGCTAACTATGTCTTTGCCATTAAAATTGTATTCAATGTTTACGATAAAACATTTGTATACTTTCACGAAGTTGCGTGACCTCACTGCATAGTTATACGTGGTCAACTATTATCTTACAGGAAAAGGCCCATGATAATTTTGCAAAAAACAATTGGCCCAACCCTTTTGTTTATTGTGTAATTATGTTGATGTAAATAATTGATGATTATATATATGCAATGAAATATCATCAAACTTACTGTTCACAATGCATATCTTGAACATGTTTTGATTATTGTTTAAGACAAATTTTAGAATTCCACTGTAACATGGTAAAGTTCTACCAATCTATAATGATTCAGTCTACTGACTTTTACATTTTTTCCACAAAATCACGCATAAAAAGTTGTCTAGCTTAGGACGGAAACGGTTTACTACCATTGATATCATTGCTACGTATAATGTTTCTTATCTAATTTAACATTTTTATCCTTTTTAAAATGATAAATGTTCACCTTACGATCCCTGCCCCCGGCATCGATTGTCATTACTTCATCAGCGTACGTGTATGCTCTAGTACTTAATTTAGTTTATTTTTTGCAAAAAAATATAGCAGTCGTTTACCTACTACACCCCGTACACTTGCTAACAGATTTCCATCTACACCCCGTACAAAACCGTGCTAGACTCTGTACACTAGGCAATGTCTTTTTTCGCAAATTTTGCTAAAAGCAGCTTGATTTGATGGATGACCACTCAAATACAAGTAGAGGGAAGTCTATATTTTATATTAAATACGGATTTTGATACAACAAATGCCTTTTGGACCTGATTTACAGGTAAATATCAACATTGTTCGAAAATATCAACAAAAACGGTACAATTTATCGCCGATTTAACAAAAAGTATTCAATTTGCAGAAAAAAGAAAATACTGCCCTAAAATCTGACATATTTAGCTTCGCAAAATTGTTTAGTTTGGAAAAATCGATGGAGTTATGATGGAGAAATAAGCTGAAACATTACCTTGGGTGAACTCGACGTAAACCTTTTTACTTTCGTTTTCGGAGTTTTGAGGGGCTATATCCGGTGGACGCTGTACAACAGTGTTAATATGAATGTACAAATGTACTGTGTATTTACATTTCATTATTATATATGTAACGGTCAGTAACTATTCGATGAAAATATTCAATTTAGCTGGAGGGACCGTAACCTCGTGATCTTGCTCAGACACTCGGTGACACAGTGACATCTCAGCCAGCCTCTGGCTCAAACCTAGGACCCCCTCTAGCAACAACAGTATGCAGTCTTCAATCTGTCAAAATTGTCGCCTTTCAATTTTAAAATTTCAACCTTTCAAATAAAATGGGGTAAAAATAAGTTGTTAAAAACAATTCCCCCTTTTATATCTAAATAATGTATATACTTAAGTTACGTAAACTTAAGAACGTTATTAAAACATAATGTAAGCAAAATGTAGCAACTACCAACATACATTACTGTTTTAGGATTATATACCAGCACAGAGCTGTTTTCCGACATCACTTTACAAGAGTTTTCTTAATTTACGTGAACGAATTCTTTAACACTAAGTACCCGACTATACATGTAGTTAATATCTACAATAATTATTGCACTGCTTTTTTTTACTGTAACAAGGGACAGTGTAACCAATGTCTTCAAAGAGCAAAATCAACTTGCATCAACATTGCATAAATCAGCAAGATTTCTAGAGATAACTTCGTAAAGTTTTAGGTATGGAATACATTAGAAGCTGTATTCACGACATACGAAAACCTTTTACTGTTATCATTTCGTGTAGGCGGTGCGTTGACACTTAACATTTGGTCTGTAAAACAATAAGGAGTTTTCATTTTTATTTAATAATAAAAAGGGCGGTTAGTCATTGCGCCGACATTACCCTAATTTATTCGGTATTTGTTACAATTCATATGTGAATTATATGTATACCATGCAACCGTGTATAAAAATGCAATTAACTAATTTACACTGAATACAGTTGTTACGTGGTAAAAAGAAATTTACAGTGATATTTTTCAGCAGTCATTTCTATTTCCTTAAAAAATTATTATACTTGTAATAATTTTTTTTTCATTCTATTTATGTCATTATTACATAAACAAATAACATCAAAAACAATACCAGTACAAAACTTCAAATACAGTACCGGTATAAAATTAAAAACAAGAAAACTATGTGACATTTTACAAAAAAAACAAAAACAAAAAAACAACAAAAACTGATAAAGAAATATTACAATTTCATAATATCCTTGACACATAATGATATAATATTATAACCTGTTAACCACAGTATGATTTCCCACAACACACACAGGAGACATAGATATATAACAGGAATATGGTCTTAATTTGAGGGAGTGTTACAGGAGCGTTATCTTGAACGACCGGAGGTGTGTGTAAAAATTGCAAATGTTCGACAATGTTTCAAAATTATTATGTTTTAAATATGTTTGACGTGTGTTATCGATGTAATATTGAACATTGTCGTTATTTGAAACCCCTCTGTTGATGGCCAGACATTAAACGACAACATTTATCTTAAATTTCAGGGCTAGACCTTAACAAAACAACATGTTATGGATGTATTGAAATCCAACAATTAATAATATATAGTGAATAGATAATAGTGAAGAGAACTCAAGGACTAGAAGGTGAAACCCCGTCTTCTGAATACATATAGCTTATCACACGTTCAATATAGTATCAAGCAACTGTTTTCCCAGTAATACAATAAATGTGAACTATTATATGAAATATATGCCAACAATATGGTCCATACATTTAATAATTTATCTCCACATTTCCCCACCCCGACAACATAAACATACTGCTATCGATTAAACTGGACTTAACTGCCTGAACGATATACAATATAATTATACAGACAAGTATTTTATGTAAGACTCTGATATTTTAGATAGTGTTTGTGTTTCTGTATGCATAAAGGATGAAATTTCTAATTTGCAGCAGCTTAACAAAATGTTAAGGACCAGATACACAGACGGTCGGTTCTCAATCGGTCATTTAATTTTAAATTTACTCGCTGTTATGATCGGTTGCTTTGTATCGCTACAATTCAACTTTCCTATGCAGTTAGCACAATGGTGTTTTTTTTTTCAGCAGAGAAAAAATTAAAAAGATTGTGGTCAAGCCTCGTGACAGTGTTATTATCTTGTTGTAATGTTTAAACGTTTGTATTTAAGAATTTTTGTCTGTGCATACAAGTTTGATCCAGATATGTAATCACTTCTGTAAATTATACAATATTATATAAATGCTATTTCTCCCATTTAACGAAAGGTATTTTTGATACATAAACAACTTAAGCAAATTAGCTATGGTCAGAATTTAATATAACTGTGTATTGTTTGACAACAATGGTCAGCAAAATGACCCGGATTATTATCTGTTAAATACAGGGCACTTCTGGTTTAAATTCTCTTGTACTAAACGGGTGAATAGGTCACTCATTAACCAGAGTGTAGTTCATAGTTCATAAACAATTTTACATATAAAATACGTTAAGACTTTTTTCTGTCTCAAGTTATGAAAAGCGGATGTTCTTACACAATATGCGTCTGATATTAAATTATAAAGATATAATTTCTAAAGAAATAAACTATATTTCTCACAATATTTTCTAGATCATGCGTTAAACCGGGTCACAAATGCATATGAATATTCATCCTGTATTACGGACAGCTATATGTGTACCAGAGTACATTAATTCTACACGGTATTTAAAAGAAAAACTTCAGTTTCATTCATATTGCAGTGATGTTTTATATTTATTTGTACTTATAAGTGTCGCAAAAATGGTTTAATGTTAACTGATAAACAATGTCGCAAACGTAATGCGTAACCAAATCTGCACGTGAATCTCGTGGTTACGAGAATGTGACAGCTGTATATTCTTACCTTTTGGTAAGGTAGACTGAGCTATTCCGGTCCCTGTCATCAGGAACATGTACAATGCTAAAATAATCCGTAAACTTAGCTCCATATTGAGTTTTCAATTCGCACGTTACTACAGAATTTAATGATCACATTATATCCGTATGGAATTTCTGTATCACAAACTATTAACACTACTGTAGAAGTTGCAAATCACGTTAACAACTCACTGTGTCATTTTATCAACTATTACGATGGTTAGAAACTTTCTATTTAGTTCACGTATAAAAAAGTAAAAGCGTCTGGAAAAAATCCAAAAAATAATATCAAAAGTACCACCACATATTTTCAACAAACTCCGTTACATAAACACGTTTTAAAGTAACGGTAATGACAGATCAAATGTAAATGCCGAAAGTAACAATCTATTATTCTTTCCAATTTTGACAAACGGCCCAGGTAAACGATTAAAACTACAGCGTTATGCGCGTTCCGCCTCAATGCCCGAATGACAGCCTGCTTGTTGCTTATGGACAACGAAATTGATAGAAAATTGCGTCTTTATATTGGTGAAACATCACTTTATTTAACACACGGTATAATGAAGGTACTTTTGCTTGTCACTTGAAACAAAGCAGTAATGATCCTCTACTTATTATATGACATCAGATAAACAAGTGAAGCGTACCTTGCTGGTCATCGTTGACATACAGTGGTCATCAAATGATAATTATAATAATGATCAATATACAATACACTTAATGAGCACGATCATATAATTTATGTTTATACACTAATATCATGTGTGTAAGTTACATTTATACATATAAATAATTACATGCATGTATTATAATGAGAACGCGCGCGTTATCAAATGAGGTAGAAATTCATACTCATGTTTCAACGCAGAGAAAAAAAATATAGAGACATATATAACACACCTCGAAGACACCACACATTTTACTTTGTAACCCATTTCCTACCAATGTACTTATGAGCACTAAATTTATAAACTTAATTATATTCTGTCCTTACTATTGTTAGAGCGCATTGTAATCATCATATGGTTATAGTACTTAACATACGATGATGTATTTTTCTCAATCAAACGACATTTGAGCCGCGTCACGACAAAACCAACATAATGGGTTTGCGACCAGAAAGGATCCAGACCAGCCTGCGCATCCGCGCAGTCTGATCAGGATCCATGCTGTTCGCTATCAGTTTCTCTACTTGTTATACGGTTTGTAAAGGCCTCAACAGACGGTAGGATTTTGAAGTACAACACTAATTAAAACTAAGATGTACAGGCAAATCTTAATGTGTGAAGGCTACTATTTCTTGAATTCGGAAACCTTAAGTCTAGATGTAAGGGATAGGACATGTTCTATTTTGAAAATCTTGTCGTATAGATTTCTACAGACCTCCCACAATGACAAGTAACAGATTACCGAATTATCTCCTGATAGTGGGTGTAATGAATGAAATTCCAGAACAATTAGGACTAAAAGGTAAACATATATAGTAGTAAGATGGGGTAAAAATGATGTTGAAAAACTCTTCAGGAGACCCAAAGTTGTGTTATGTTCCAATCCCAAATTATTCCGAAAATGATTATGTCACGGTATTGAACTGTTCTCTAATTAGGGGAGGGGAGGTAGTTTGTAGGCGGCCGGAAAGCTTAGTCAGTAGAGCCGCAGTACGGTATCCCGAGGGTCCCAGGTTTGAGTCTCGGTCAGGCTTCACATTAAAAAAATATGGAGGTGTTTCAATCATTACTCATGGGGAAAAAGTATTTAGTGAGTAAAGTAGGTAATGGATCAATGTAAAGGGATCCTTTTTAGGGAAACCTCAGACGATTCCTACAGTGTAGATGCAAGTGTTGTATTGCTTTGAAGTTTATTTATAAACATGATTTGATATTACAGGCAATTTCTTCCCATATTTATGCTCTCTGCAAGGCTAATAACACATGATGCATTATAAAAACAACAATTGTAATGTAAGTCGCTCAAATTCTCCTAATGGTTTCTAAAAGTAGTGGCTTAAAACCATTGTAAGCTCCGACATTCATCTTGTGAAAGAGACCGCAACACCATCCCAGAATCATATCATAATCTATCTAACAGTTGAGGTGATTTTGATGAAAGCATTTCCTGCTCTTGAGGTAATGTTGTTTAACAGACAGAAAGGGTTTTATAATTTACGCACGGGGTCATGTAAGGGTCATTCCTAATGACTTTTACTCCCTTATACATTAGATAAACAAACAGGAGTGTTGAAGAATAAATATAAAAAAGAGAGAGAATTTGATCAAAGTATATGCAATGGTTATAGAGTAGGATATATATAAAGGATATATATGCAATTGTTTAAGTCCAATGTTTATCTAGCTCAGTTGGTTATCTTGACGACTGTAGCATTTTTTTTGTAAAGGGCCACCTGAGGATCATTCATCAAACACTGTCAAATGGTTGAGGTGGATCCATTTTAAGTTGTTGTTTTTTTCGATTTATAGCTATGATGGACATCTTTTTCAGCACATATGATTATTCTATAAAATTAAACAAGAGAGCCGTGATGGCCATGTATCACTCATCTGAGATACACTGCTAGAAAAGGTCACACTTTCAGTACTGAGGTCATATTGGGCTTGTCACCATCATGAATTTCAAAGGGTTTGTATCAATGCTTCATTGCAAATATCTAAGCATTAGTTTCACATAATAGGACATAAATATACTTTACCAGGTGCGTGTCACGTGACTTTTCCTGCCAAAATGTTATATTTTTCGCACAGATAAATGGTCAAGGTGGGGAACAAACACAAAGTTAACCATGTAGGAGACAGCTGCACTGCGTTTATACTTCCGGTTTCTTTTTTTTTTTTAAGTTAGCCGCGCATACATCACCATAACAGCCTGCGCATGTCGTCACGTCCTGAAATCGCGTGCTCTGACGCGCGCTTTTATGTCACACACCACTAAATCAGAATGTCATAGGGTTGAAACATCGCCAGTAACTGCCTATGCGGACTGAGAGGCGACACTTTAAGGTAGGGGGTCTCTATGAAAATGCTTGAAAAGGTGGTGGCCGCCGAAAGGATATCAAACAGACCATTAATCTCGAAAAATTATCTTTAGTTCTCGTCTTGTCCACAATACCTAAGTGGGGTCCCTTTAAGATAATGATTTAGGCAACATGTTCCTTTGTATAAACATATCTAGTGACACTTCATACAGTATGTATTCACTTAATTAAAAAAAAACACACACACACACACAATAAAACATGCAACAGCAATAACAAATTCAACAATACCAGTATTTTCAGAGCAATTTATTTACAATAATGAATTTTTGTTTCTTTTTTTAACAAATGAATATTTATTTGTATGACTGATGGACTTTCAATATTTATACTGATTTAATTTACACTATTTACAAATTATGACTGAAATAAATAAAATGTCAGTAAAACAAGAGGTTGTTTTCTAAACAAACATGTAGATACAAGAAACCCAATGGGTATATATCTCTCACCTGAGTAAATGGAAATTAGCATGAAAAATTCAAAATGTGATTTTTTTGGACTACATGTATTACTTTTGTTGAGTCCAATTGTACCAATTACTTTTATAACAAAATGTAGGATCTGATACCTGGTAAAGTTTGTATACATAAAAAATAAACATGAGAATCAAACATTTCAAGATGAAATCAAACAAAATGTCCTTAAATAATTAAAACACTTACAAAAAATCAAACCTGATTAAAACAATAACAAAAATTAAAGAAACATATGATTTTTTTTTCAATGAGCTTTGCATGCATTATATAAGAAAGGATTAAGTTTATTATTTTATCACCATTATTCGAGTGTAGGACAAAAGCCCCCGGATGAAAGCCCATTCCCCCCCCCCCCCCCCCCGTCTAAAAATGACAAGGTGGACAAAAGCCCCCCCATGAAATTTTCACATAGGACAAAAGCCCCCCCATCAAAAATACAGGTAGGACAACCCCCCCCCCCCCATCTTTTTTTCACTTGCACAGGTGCTCGAATTCATCAAATTTCACACAAAATTTTAAATAAAAATGAAAAGAATTTGTTTTAATGTTTATTTATAATGTATATATTGAAGTGATAACAAAGTTTATGATAAAAAATTGAATAATATATGCATGTGATACCGAATTCATAGCTTTTCATATACACAACAAGGGTCAGAAGAGTAGTAATGTTTTATCACTTTTGTAAAGGGATCAAATTAATATCCTAAGCACTTTGTCACCTACATGTGATGTCCATACATATCTTTTTAAACACATAAAAAACACAACTTTAATACAATATATGTAAATTTGATTGACTATGGGAGGGGGGCTTTTGTCCTACCTTTACTTTTTTAGGGGGGGGGGGGGGGCTTTTGCCCTATGTGAAAATTTCATGGGGGGGCTTTTGTCCACCTTGTCATTTTTAGATGGGGGGGGGGGCTTTCGTCCGGGGGGGCTTTTGTCCGTATCCCCCATTTTTCTAACCTGTTTCTGACATAATAATAGCTGATGTGAATATTCTGACATATTGTAAACCTTTTCTACAGCACTGATTTAATATAAAATTATAAAACAAAATATGGTTAAGTAGTGGATTTTAAAATCCTTTACATTTTCAAGTAAAGTCTGGTCAAATAACACAGTTGTGCTAAATGGGATGAATCTTTATTGGCGGAGAAGGCCTTTTACAGTTTTTGATTCCATCATTGTAAAGATTTAAGTACTGAACTTCTCCCCTGAATTTAAATTACAATACCTGAAATATTACATTAATTATCACTAAGCAATAACAGTAACTTACAATTTTTATAAGTACTTAATTTTGCTTTTTGATAAATATAAAAGACTTTATGTATGAAATTATATAACAAAAAAACCCTCTAAAGTCAAAGACCACAAAATTAACAAAACATGTCTGATGAAAAACAGGGGGTGGCATGTTATGATGTATTAAATTTGTATATAACAATGGTAACAATATGCAGATGAGATCGAAGTTGTCTTTACACAAAAATCATGATAAAAACATGTGTAAGACAATAATATACAATAAAATCCTGGTTTTGTTCACTTCTTGTGTGTAAAGAACGTTATATTTTCACTCATACCAATATTAAAGCTTCTCTCTCATAGAAATGTTGGTTAATTTGAACTTTTACACTCTGCTGAATTGTGAGTGGTCCTGCTTTAAATATCAAAATGACAAGTATATGATTCAACTCAAAATTGAAGCAACCATTAATCTTGTAGGTCTGTACAGACATTACTGATAGTAGCTTATTAACACTGGAGTTCTGTACAAACTTGCATCTATATGAAACATGTACCAAGAAATTCAGGAACCTAAAATGATACCAAGCCAGCTTGTTGTATACTCTCTATATGATGTACATGTACAACAAGATCCGAATGTAAGTAAAATGAGGTGTTGATACATATGGCAAGAATACCTAGTTTATCTAAAACATTAATATAACAACAATCATTTAAAACATCTTTATTTATCAGTAAGATTTATATCACTCATTGTACAACCCTTACTATATCTCTATTTCACTGTACATCACTCTCAGAACATCTCGCACTTTACATGACTCAATGTTTATCTCTCACTTTACATAACTCACTGTTTATCTCTCACTTTACATGACTTGCTGATTATCTCTCACTTTACATAACTCACTGTCTATTGCTCATTTTACATAACTCACTGTTTTTCTCTCACTTTACATAACTCACTGTTTATATCTCAATTAACATGAATCACTGTTTATATCTCACTTTACATAACTCACTGTCTATCTCTCACTTAACATGACTCACTGTTTATATCTCACTTTACGTAACTCACTGTCTATCTCTCACTTTACATAGCTCACTGTTTATATCTCACTTTACATAACTCACTGTTTCACTGTTTATATCTCACTTTACATACCTCACTGTTTATATCTCACTTTACATAACTCACTGTTTATATCTCACTTTACATAACTCACTGTTTATATCTCATGTGGGTTCAGTAGAGAAGCAATCAAGCAAGACTGGTAACATTACATGTCGACCATTTCAAATCATGAACTATGCTAGTTACCTATATATGTAACATTAACCTGCTGGAGGCAACAGGTTCTACCACAGCTACCAGTGCAGACCAAGATCCCTAAAACTGATGAATGGTTTAGTCTATACTGAAAGATGGACAAGTCCATTTAAGATGTTTAAGCTTGACATGGGTGAATTTGATTCTATCATTTGCCACTTTTAGCCAGTAGCTGTGTTTAACATAAATATTGTATATATTTGTTTAACAAATATTTTAATGATACTAAAATATCCTAGATGTAACATGTTTCCTTTCCTTCATCTAACTTGTGTGTTTGTTTTGTTTATTCATTTTATTTTTTTGGCATCCAAACAATTTAGGTCATATGGCACCAAAATAGGAAAGATGATATTGGCTAACCTATTAAATTTGTTGTATTATTATGCATCAAGTCAGTTTTGTATACATTTCTAAACAAATTATTTAAATCATGTGGACTATAAAAACAAGTGCAAGTGAAATGTTAAAATGACAAAAATCTAAACGTAAAATTAATTTCCAATGCATTTCAGAAATAACCCTTATATATATGCATAGGCACTTGCACTCTTAATAACAAATGAGATAAACTTAAGTAGATGCATTTGTACAATTTCAATTTGAGGGTGTTTCAATAAGCTTATAGCTTCCAACACAATTGAACTGAAATAAATTTGTATAAACTAAACTAAGTTAATGCTTCAATTACCGGTTATTGGCAAATCCAAAACCTTACAATATTTGAAGATCCCTATAGTGACTTACATTGTTATTATTTTAATGATGAAACACAAAATATAGTGTAACATTGACCTGTAAAATGAGCCGCGCCATGACAAAACCAACATAGCATCTGCGCAGTCTGATCAGGATCCATGCTGTTTGCTATCAGTTTCTCTACTTGTTATATAGGGTTTGTAAGTGAACAGCATGGATCCTGTTCAGACTGTGCGGATGCACAGGCTGGTCTGGATCCATGCTGGTTGTAAACGCATTGTGTTGGTTTTGTCATGGCGCGGCTCATATATCAATTATATCATATGTATTGTTTAAAGTGACGTAATGCACATACATGAGTTAATGGCGAGTGTTCAGGTAAAATTAAAATACTTGACATTTTATCATATTTGTTATCAATTTTATAATGACCAGAGTCCATGACCCACATAAATATCTATCAATATCCTTATTATCGGTAATGTTCAATTTATAAAAAGATCAGGGCAATCTTTTTATATTTTTGACAGTTTTTATATTTTAACCTAAACATTTGTAATTATTAATTATTGTTCAATCGCTATCAAAATAGTCAATCTTATGAAATATACAAACGACTTACCTAACCTTGATAGTGAACAAGAGGGCCATGATGGCCCTGAGGTCGCTCACCTGTATATAGGCCCCCCCCAACCCCCGGGCCAATTTTTACCCAAGGGCTTTTTATTTGTTTATTTGAACAGACTTGGTAGACACCCATAAGAAGATGTTTCATGCTAAACATCTAAGTTCTAGCTCATTGGGTTTTTTAAAAGAAGATTTTTAAAGTTTTTACTATACACATATAGTTAAAAACAATGACACCCCTGGGGCAGGGCCAGTTTTGACCCCCGCGCTTTTATTTGAACAAACTTTGTAGATATTTACTTAAAGATGTTTCATGCTTAATATCTAAACTCTAGCTATTTGGGTTTTTTCAAAGAAGATTTTTAAGTTTTTGCTATACACATATAAGGAAAATCAATGACCCCCCCCCCCCCCGGGCGGGGCCAGTTTTGACCCCAGGGCTTTTATTTGAACATACTTGGTAGACACCCATTAGAACATGTTTCATGCTAAATATCTTAGCTCTAGCTCTTTGAGTTCTTTAAAAGAAGATTTTTTAAGTTTTTACTATATGCATATAGGGAAAATCAATGACCCCCTGGGGCGGGGCCAATTTTGACCACAGGGCTTTTATTTGAACAAACTTGGTAGACACTCATTAGAAGATGTTTCATGCTAAATATCTTAGCTCTAGCTCTTTGGGTTCTTTAAAAGAAGATTTTTTAAGTTTTTACTATATGCATGTAGGGAAAATCAATGACCCCCCGGGGTGGGGCCAATTTTGACCACAGGGCTTTAATTTGAACAAACTTGGTAGACACTCACTAGAAGATGTTTCATGCTTAATATCTTAGCTCTAGCTCTTTGGGTTCTTTAAAAGAAGATTTTTTAAGTTTTTACTATATGCATATAGGGAAAATCAATGACCCCCTGGGGCGGGGCCAATTTTGACCCCAGGGCTTTTATTTGAACAAACTTGGTAGACATTCACTAGAAGATGTTTCATGCTTAATATCTAAGCTCTAGCTCTTACGGTTCTTTAAAAGAAGATTTTTTAAGTTTTTACTATATGCATATAGGGAAAATCAATGACCCCCCGGGGCGGGGCCAATTTTGACCCCAGGGCTTTTATTTGAACAAACTTGGTAGACACTCACTAGAAGATGTTTCATGCCAAATATCTTAGCTCTAGCTCTTTGGGTTCTTTAAAAGAAGATTTTTTAAGTTTTTACTATATGCATATAGGGAAAATCAATGACCCCCTGGGGCGGGGCCAATTTTGACCCCAGGGCTTTTATTTGAACAAACTTTGTAGACACTCACTAGAAGATGTTTCATGCCAAATATCTAAGCTCTAGCTCTTAGGGTTGTTTAAAAGAAGATATTTAAAGATTTTTCTTTCGGTTGCCATGGCAACCAGAGTTCTGCATGGAATTAAATTCTTTGAACAATTTTTAAAGGTGACCACCAAAGGAACATTCCTGTGAAGTTTGGATGAAATTGGCTCAGTGGTTTATGAGGAGATGTCATTTAAAGCAAAAGTTTACGGACGGACGACGGACGGACGGACGCCGGACGAAAAGCGATCACAAAAGCTCACCCTGTCACAAAGTGACAGGTGAGCTAAAAAATGAGCATAATGTCAATTCCATACACTTATTGCAATTAGAATTTGGAATTGTTCACTATTATTATATCAGAGGGATATTGTTGCAAGTTTTTAAACCTACTATTCAAGTTGTGTATGTGACAATACAGGGCCTAATCAGAAAATTTCAATGTGGCATACATCACATGTTAAATGCTGCTGTTGATCAATGTGAATATGATCATTATAATATTGCTATAGAACTGATGTAAAGTAAGGAAGAATGTAAATAAAACTGAATAAACTTTAAACTGTTAACTCAAAAATAATTTGAACTTAAAAAAACACCTGATATAACAGAAATGAAGTCTCTGTCAATGGAATTAACACTCAGTAGATAAAACAAGATGGCCATGATGGCCCTAGATTGCTCTCCTGAGACCCATTGCTAGAAGATGTCATAATTCATGGATATAGTAAATAAGTGGGTTGTTCCATTTTTTACTGTAGGTGTACATGCAAAATAACAAAACTCTTGGCATACTGGTTTCCTAGCAGTTTCCGACCCCAAGTCGCACTTTTAAAGAAATAAAATAAAAATCTGTCTATGGACGAGTATAAGACTTTGATAGAACAAATGTAGGTACCTGTCCAGAATGACAATGTTTTCAATGTTGCTCTTTCACTTCACTTTTTAATTGGAATATAGGCCTGAATGTAACACCTTTTCTCACTTTCATTCAAAATTTCATAGCAGTTTTTTTGACCTTTTTTATTTAAATATACATGTAATTCAATACCAGTAAGAAATGTTAAGATGATTTTATCAAAGAAATATAACCTTTTCTGTGATACTCCAAATATATTTTTCAAAAGTATTGATTTACACATGTACCTGGAATGGGGTGTCAGTTATTGCAGATGGGCATTCAAACAAATTCCCCAGGTGTTGCTTATTTTAAAATGTTGCAAGTTCTCTAAGGTAACTTTAAACTGTTTAATAAACAACAGGAAAAACTTCAAAACATATAAATCGCTGCATTATTTTAACTACTGTCTTGCATAGAAAACAAATGTCTCTGATTTATTGAAGTAACAGAGCTGCCCTATTGGTAAAAATAGACTGTATTGGACGAAAATAATAAAGGGCTGGAAAACTGCTAGGGGTTGGAATCTACTAGGAAACTAGTAGTAGTTTTAAGATAGATTCATTTTGACACTAGTTTGACAATATATTAAGTTATTGACAGGTATGTAAACTATCTGTTCGCAAAATCAACACTGGATCTTTCCTTTACCCACATGTTCTCCTTCTTCTATCATATACTACATGAAGCATAAAAAATAAAACAGGTCAACTTTACAATATGACACAAGAACAAATCAAATCTTTCAGCACCAATGTTATATATAAGTCACTATCTTATTGTGTAATATAAACATTCTTTTAGACCATATAATGTTCACTGACTAACACTTTTCATTTCACTATAAAAATATAAATATATGGTCCATATTTGAATGAATCCTGTAATAATATATTACATATACTCATCAAACATTCTTCAAATCTGTCAAACCCGGCTACAATTGTTTATACCCGCATCATAATGCTCTTGACATCACATTAATGAAGAGATATGTATGTCACATGTCGATCAAACACTCTCTCTGGTCTTCCTTTATATATAAAACTTCCTGACTTCAGTAATTTCTATCCCTGCAGACTAAATAACTAGGTCAACATCAGTTCCCTAGTGAGCATAATTTCTCATGCAATGTTATGTCCCTTCAAGGGCAAAATCACGGATGACTCCTATTTGCAATATGTTCAATTAACACCACTAACATAACCTGCATCAATTAACACCACTAACATAACCTGCATCAATCCAAAGATATAATGTCCGAGGGTGAGACATTTAAATAGTTTCTTGAACTTAGGCTGTTTCCATTAGGCGTAGGGTTTGATGTCAGAGTCAATGGAAAGTCAGGTGGAAATGGTAAAACGTGGGCAATCTGAAATATATTCATTATGTCATAACAACCTCAGTTTATCTGTATTAGTATAAAATTGATAAGTATAAAATAACAGTATCTCAATAACAAACAAGATCTTTGACTGACTTAACCCTTATATAATTCAGAATTTACTTGATTGATATGTAAAACAAATACAATCCTCAAGTCAAATGCATGGCGGCATGGCCGAGTGGTTAAAGCTTCGGACTAGTAATCTAATGATCGCTAGCCGTATGGGTTCAAACCCAGTCAGGGGCAAGTCGTTGTTTCCTTGAGCAAGAAACTTTACACTCATTGCTCAGTACTGGTTGGTTCCAGGAATGGATTCGAAAGTGTGTCTATAAGCTTATAGATTCCTACACAATCAAACTAAAATAAATTCTGTATAAACCAAATGCATGGTTTTTACAAACTGCTGTGTGGATAAAATAATCTGCTACCACTACTTGAAAAAGTTGATCCATTATAATATATTAAACAAGCAATTATCATAGTATTGCAAGCAATCCATAAGTCCCCTACCGGTTAGAACCCCAGCAACATTCTGATGGGCCATTGGCCATTCAATTTTACCAGTGATATTTTCATATTGTCATATTATTACGATGTGGGATTTTAAAGTAAATCCTATAAGGAATGAAGAAGTTGGAGTGAAAAATACCAATTTCTCGAAAAAATCTAAGTTCAAGGGGGACATAATTCTGGAAATAGTCTTGCTAGAGTATTTAACCTTCTCAAAAATGTTGAGTGATAATAAGAAACATATATATGAAGTTTGAAGTAGATACATTAGGAAATAAAGAAGTTATTTAAAAAAGACAACATTTTTTTTCATAAAAATTCTTAGTTCAAGGGAGGTAATACTGATAATTTTTGTGTGCTAGAGTTGTAAACCTTGTCACATATGTTGTGGTTGATGACCAGAATGTTATATTTAAAGTTTGAAGTAAACACCTTAAGAAATAAAGAACTTATAGTGAAAAAGCAGAAAAAATTTAAATCAGAAATCTTGAATTTCAGGCTATTTGTTGCCATAGCAACCAGATTTTTCAACATAGGAAAAAAGGAAAAGATGTGCATAATTTCCAGACTGCCATCTACCCATATTTCCAGTTTCATAAAAATATTTTCAGTACTTTTTAAGTTATCACTGGGTCCAGTTTATGTGTTAAATTTGCCATATTTTCAGACTATTTGTTGCCATAGCAACCAGAATTTTTCAACATAGGAAGAAAAGAAAAAGATGTGCATAATCTCCAGACTGCCATCTTCCCATATTTGAAGTTTCATAAAAATATTTTCAGTACTTTTTGAGTTATCATTGGATCCAGTTTATGTGTTAAATTTGCCATATTTTCAGACTATTTGTTGCCATAGCAACCAAAATTTTCAACATAGGAAGAAAAAAAAAGACGTGCATAATCTCCATACTGCCATCTATCCATATATCAAGTTTCATAAAAATATTTTCAGTACTTTTTGCGTTATCGCGGGATCCAGATTTGTGGACGGACTGACGGACGGACGTTCCCACAGGACAGTAATTATGTGGCTACTCTATTGTTCTTTTTAGCCACACAAAAGAAAATAGCCACATAAAAGCATTACGGAATGAATGACATCAAAGAGAAAGAACAGTTACCTATTGTCCCTATAGCCACATAATTACTGTCCTGTGAATGCGGACTGACAGACAGACGGACAGACAGACGGACGGAGGGTAAACCTAAAGTCCCCTCCGGTTAAACCGGTAGGGGACTAATAAAAGAATTCATATTCCTTTAACAAGAACCTTTTTTGTATCCTTACCAGTGCTTAAAATAACTTCTGAACAAACTGCAAGCAATTACTCAAAATATTTCACAGAGTGCAAATGACTAAACATTTTCTTGAATAATCACAAAAATTGTGCAGTAACTAAGGTCAATATTTGCCTTACTGTTGGAAAACATGTGGAATCATCTTATATCATTTATTTGAAATCAAATTTGACCAATAATATATATAAAGAAAATTGGTTGTATACAAACATACCTCCTCGCTATTTCTATCCCTGTCTGAATCTAGTATACTACACAGCTGATCCAAATCTGAAATCAAACAAACAAAATTACATTGTATAACTATCATTCTCATGTACAATATTAGCTATCACACACAAGCCTATGTTACAAGTATTGTGCCAGCCCTGACTGAACTACGATTTGTCTAACCTAATCAAGCTAACTTTTATTTTTGAATGTCTTCATTGTACTATGGAGGGTTCAAAATTTAAAATGTGACAATTTTATAACATCTCTAACCCCACACCCCCACCCCAAAGGGTATAGAGAAGAAAATAATTTCAGTACTTTTAAATGTGTCATGGTAGAACATTGCATGTTGCATATAAGCAATATTCACTGGTAGTAATGATAACTTCCCAAACATTCTTGATAGAAGGGAGATTTTTTTAGCACATTTACAAAACAATCAAGCTAAACTGCATATGACAATTTTTTCTGTAACTTTTGCACACATACCTTAAACCCAGTAATCAGTGAAAATTATGGGACAGTATAAAAATGTAAATAAATCATATGAATACATGTACATTGTACTTATATAGAATTAAAAAATAAAAAGTCATTTATTTGACTGTATAACAGTCAATTATTATTATGCTTGGTTTAGTTCAGTATAAAACAAAAACACATCAAATGAAAATGATAATACACCAGAAAGTAGCGTGGCAGTTAGTAAGAAAAAAAGTGTGATATTCAATAAACAAACTGAACTATCAACAAATTTTGTTCTGTGTTAACTAAGTGCTAATTATGATAAACACTAAAGTTTAAACAACTGGATGTAAAAGACTTGCATGCAAAAACTTTGATTTTAACAAAACCGATTTTCTTTTCCAGCTAGTCTCGTTGCCTCTTTATCAGAAAGTGGCATCCCATTAGGTATTACTAAAATTTCAAAATAACAGATTATTTCTTTTCATAAGAACTTGTCATTATCTACAGGGAGTACATGTATTGGTCCATCCTTGTTTAAAAATGAAAATAAACATTTTTTTCTTTTTGCAATTCTTCGTATCCAATTGTTAGCACTACTAGAAAACTGACTTAAACAAACTAGAAAAAATTCATCTGTTAAAACAACTGGCTAAAACTAAATGGCTTTTACACTCATGTGGTTAATGAATATCAAAATCTTTATTTTTTAGTCTTTTTTGAAAAACAGTAAAAATCCTATTAATTTTTCAAGTTAATTTGGCTATAAATTTCAAGAATCAGACAGACCCATGATATAAAGAGAATAAATCATGACTTTATTCTGTCAATAAACAGGTTATAACCCTTCACAGTATTATAACTTCTAGTTAAGATCAATAGATACAAGTTACAAGAGCAATCAATAGATACAGACATCATCTTAAACTTATACTGATTTATCACCCTCTGTGAACCTGTACTACTGTATAACTTTCAGTATCTAACAGCAGTTTCAATTGTTACCCCACAAATGCAAAAGTTAAAATCCATTTCCATAATTATCAAAGCGTCATAACTCTAAATCAACGATTATACACGAGACAACGAGCAATATGTAAAACTACAAGTAGGTATTCAATTTTCTATTTCTAAACTTTTATTGCATTGTAAATATAGCTGTTGTAAGAAAGCAAAATAGCATAGACGGCACAATCTACTAAATTTCATTTTTAAACAATGCTACAATTTGTTATTTATTTCAAAATAATCAAAACAAACACAAATTTACAGTAAATATGACAGTATACATACCAACAAGTGGTGACATGTTAGAGTTTGATGATGACGGAGAACCTGTCCCAACTTTGTCCATCAGTGTACGTTTAGGTGGTGGCTGGTTGTTTGAATGAGCAGGTGGCGGTCTTTTCTGTCCTTGCGTCTGTCCACTTAATGCTGTAAGCCACGACTGAGGTGATGATGACGAGGGTGAGGGTAACGGTACCATTGATGAAGTATGAGGAGGACTGTGTAAAGTGTGGGACTCGTATTTCACTGGGCTACTGTTTCTTGAGTTTACACTAAGATTTAGACCCGACTCATTTAGAGAATGAGATGAAATATTCCCTGGATTGTTAAAGTTTGTACTGGGTACATTACTATCACTTCTTCTATAACTAGTTAATGGTGGTAGTGGCGGGAGTTTATGTACAGCACTGGAGATCTCTGGAGATAATGGTGCTGATATAGGTGGTGCATTCATTATCAGCGACGGTGTAGACGATCTGAAAATGTAACAACAGCAAAATTCAATACCATGCTCATACAAAATTTTATGGAGAAAACAACATATCAAACACTTATGTAGTATTAAATGTATTCAAACAAATTGTATTACAAACGTTTCAAAACATTTAAACAAGAATTTCTAAGTGCATATTTATACCTCTGCCTCCAATTTTGTTCAGCAAAAAATTAAATATGTCCAATGATTATTTCTAATAATAAATATAATCCAAATTTTTTTGGCGGTCATCATGTTCTATGGAGCAGAACTGGCTTGAGTTTCAGTGCTAAAATTGATTCTGCTGAGTTTAACATGCAGTAGTTAAAGAATGGTAATAAGATTATTCTAGCTCAGACTGCCATTTTTTTTTCAATGGACAAGATTTAACATTTTTTATTGCAGCACTATATACAGACCACTCTGTGTATTAAAATTGACCAAGGTTTAAATAAGGAGAGTTGATAAAAGAATAACTGATTACAGGATTACTGAATACCAGAACAAATTCGATCAAAACTAACATTTGGCTCTCCAGACAGGTTTTTTTTTATTTTGAATGATGTTGACTTTCAGAAACATGTTTACATGTTAACACAAACCATTTTATACAAAGTTCAAGACCCTGAAACTATTCAGTTTTCACCTTTTGCAAATTGCATATTTCAAACATTCAAGAGGGATAACTTTGTCCAAAATCATCCATCCATGATCAAATTCAAACTTGATGATGTATCTATATGTCAAATTTGAATTGAATGTGTGCAACTGTTGAGGAGATAATGAAAAGAAACTGAAAATTTCTCTTTTTTTTTCAAAGTTCAAGAGAGACTACTTTGTCAAAAATCATCTAACCATGACCAAATTCGAACATGACCTGCGTATTCCTATGACATATCCATATCTTAAATTTGAGTTGAATGTGTACAACTTTTAAAGAGATAATGAACGAAAACTGAAAATTTCTTCTCTTTTTTTTTTTCAAAGTTAAAGGGAAATAACTCTTTCAAAATTCATCAAACTATGACCAAATTTGAATTTGACCCGAGCATTTTAATGTATCCATATATCAAATTAGAGTTGAATACAACTGTTGTGAAGACAATGAACGGACGCTGAAAATTTAATTAAGGAGCATAACTCTGTCAAGTCATCAGACCATGACCAAATTCGAACTCCACCTGCGTATTCCTATGATGTATCCATATGTCAAATTTGACTGTGGGAACTGATGATGACAGAACAGAGTAACAGCTGCCATAACTTTGCTATATATAATTTCAGGATAATCTGCCCATGTGATGTTTCATCATAAGATGACAATAAACAAGTGAATAGCTTTGGAAGTTTGAGAAAATGGACCCTAACATATTACAGGTCACATTGACCTTAACCTTTTGATTACTGTAACCCAATTTATATTCGCGAATACAAATTTTCGCGTTTTGCCGAGGTCGGACATATTCGCGAATATTAATTTCCGCGTTTTCTTGATTTCCGAAAAAAAAATATATTCGCGGATTGGAAAGTCTGATGGGGCCATAAAATCCATTGGCCGACTATTAATCTTCAATAATTGAGGTCATTATTAGTCTTTAAGAAATTCAATTAAAGCGTTTCATAAAAAAATACCTTCGCCAATCAGAGATCGAACCCACGCCGAGAAAATTATGTTATATGAGTCGCAATCTAACCAACTGGGCTATACAGGCTGTTAAGTTTGACGGGTAAAAATCGATACTAGTATGAAACCATCTTGTTTTTCACTGTTTGAAATTATGTACACCCAATACCCTTTTGTGATGCTTGATAGGTTTCTTAACAATTCACTCAAACAATTATTTTATAGGGTCCAAAAAACAATAGCCTTTTGTGATGCTCGATAGTTTTCCCACTTTTGTCAAACGATTTATTCAAACATTTATTTTATAGGGTCCAAACAGGTCGTGGTCACTGGACTTGAGGACAAAAGGCAAATTACTGCACTTTTTATTTATAAAATAGTAGTAGTTTACTTTGTTTGTGTTTTTATTGCTTTATGGCAATATTCGTAACAATTCATTACTTCCTAACAGGTGCCCGTAAAATTTGAATATATCCGGTCAAGTAGCTTTGCATGAACAACGTCTAAAATAAAAAAATCTCTCTCCAATTTATTCGCGAAATCGTGCGGACTTATTAGCGCAAACAAATATTCGCGATTCGTGGCCATCCCCGAATAAAGCGAATATTAATTGGTCGCGAATATTCGTTGGGTTACAGTAAATTCTGAAGCTTAAACTTATCAAAGTAGAGTATAAAAGGGACTCAATGTGGATCAGATCTATGCCAGAGCTAGGTTACAGTCTCTTTTATACAACAGTGGGGTTTCACAGGACTCAGCCTATTATTTGATAAGACATTTAACTTTCTTCAGTGATCAAATTCAGAAATAGTATGAAGGAAAGCAATCTAATGTTTTACAAGAAACTGAACAGGGCAACATTACATTATATTTATTAAACATCAAAGATTTATATGTTACTTTGTAGCTTTTAATATCTAGTTGTATTTGACTGTTTAAAGAGAATTATGGCCATTGCAATATCATAATTATGTTATCTAACCCGTTGTAATATTATCATTTACAATGTATTGTTACCATGTTAATCACTGTATAGATAATGGAATTCTTTATAAACCACCAGTCATTTATAATCTACTTAAATTGTGATAACAACATGACACATGTAATGTTTTAAAATACCATATGCCTCTGTAATCTTTTGCATGAATTATTAAAGATAAAATATAAACAAAGTGGATTTTGATGACACCTATATAACCTGACAAAAGAACAAAATAACTATCCAGCACCGTTTACTATTAATTTTATATATTAAACAAGTGCTGGATAGTAATTTTGTTCTTGATGATCAAGGGGTGATTATTTTATGATAATTTGACCATTATTTGGCATGGCAAATGTGCTGAACGCCTGTGATATTTTGATACTGAAATCTCTACTTTAAAACATGGCATCTCTATATAGTACAGATTCAGCAAGTAAAGGGTTAAAATTGTTGGCAAAGGTAGTTCATTATGGCATTTAATTATAAGTTTCAAGGCCTTTATTGGTAACAATTAAATCTGGTCAGTCTAGTACAGGCCGACTACTCAAGGTTTAGGACTAAGTCATTTTCACCTCTTACATATTTGAGTGTAATGATTTAGAGGGGAGTGGGGGAGACTGTACTGTGTACAGATGTAAACAATAACCGGTTGAACTGGGTGATGCTCCCCGAGAAAGTTTTGGGCACAAGAAAGTATACAATAATGAATAAAGGGCAAAAACTCCAAAATAAGGCAAGGCAGAGTTATGGTTTTTTTGCACTGCACTTCTATTCAATCAGATCTATCTATCTATAAAGTTCCGTGATGATATCTCTTATAGTTTCAGAGTTATGTCCCAGGTTAAATTCAAAGTGTAAAAATGAACAAAGGGCAATAACTCCAAAATTAGACAAAGCTGTGTTTAGGATTTTTAGCATTGCAGTTCTATCCATTGAGATCTATCTACCTACAAAGTTTCATGTTGATATCTCTGATAGTTTTAGAGTTATGTCCCGGACAAAAGTCAAAAAAAATAAAAATAAAAAAGGGCAATAATTTCAAAATAAGGCAAGGGAGAGTTATGGCTTTTTAGCACTGCACGTCTACCAAAAAAGACCTATGTACCTACAAAGTTTCATGTTGATATCTCTTATAATTTAAGAGTAATGTCCCCGACAAAGTTCAAAGTGTCAAAATGAACAAACGGCAATAACTCCAAAATGAGGCAAGACAGAGTGAGGGTTCTTTAAAAATGCACTTCTACTCAATGAGATCTATCTACCTACAAAGTTTCATGTTGATATCTCTTATAATTTAAGAGTTATGTCCCGGACAAAGTTCAAAGTGTCAAAATGAACAAAGGGCAATAACTCCAAAATGAGGCAAGACAGAGTGAGGGTTCTTTAAAAATGCACTTCTACTCAATGAGATCTATCTACCTACAAAGTTTCATGTTGATATCTCTCATACTTTTAGAGTTATGTCCCAGACAAAGTTCAAAGTGTAACAAGAGCCCGGTTTGAGCCGGGTGATGCTCCCTAAATAGGTTTTGGACACAGGAAAGTACACCTCTTTTAGTTTCAGAGTTAATAATTCCAAAATTAGGCAATGCAGAGTTATTGTTCTTTGCACTGCATTTCTTATCAACACGATCTATCAACCTACAAAGTTTCTTGTTGTTATCTCTTATGGTTTCCGAGTTATATTCCGGACAAAGTTCAAAATGTAAAAATGAACGAAGGGCAATAACTATAAAATTTGGCAAGGCGGGGTTCAAGTTCTTGTGCACTGCACATCTACCCATTAAGATCTATTAACCTACAAAGTTTCATGTTGATATCTCTTATAGTTTGAGAGTTATGTCCCGGACAAGATTTTTCTATAAGGGGAGATAATTCAAAAACCGGGCAAAATAGAGTTATGGTTCTTTGACACTGCACTCCCCCTAAATGCCCTCTACCACTGCATGAAGTTTAAGCAACTTATCTCCAAGGGTTTTAAAGTTATGCTCCGGATAAGACAACAGACGGACAAGGCGTGACTGCTCCCCCGAAATTTTTCGGGGAGCATGCATAAAAATAAACAAAGGGCAATAATTCAAAATTAGGCATGGCAGAGTAACGGTTCTTGTGCACTGCACACCTACTCAAAGAGATCTATCTACCTACAAAGTCTCATGTTGATACCTCTTATAGTTTTAGAGTTATGTCCCGGACAAAGTTCAAAGTGTAAAAATAAACAAAGGGCAATAATTAAAAAATTAGGCAAGGCAGAGTTACAGTTTTTGTGCACTGCACACCTACAGAATAAGTCTATCTAACTACAGAGTTTCATGTTGATACCTCTTGTTGTTTTAAAATTATGTCCTGGACAAGAGAAGTGAACAGACGGATGGACGGACAAAGCGGC